TCCCTGTTTGTCAAGAGATCATTTCAGGACACAATGGGAGAACCTCCATAGTGACCCATTCAGCATCACTTGAAGTCCAATATCATACCTGGGAAATACAAGGTACATTATAGATAGTAAGCACGATCTAGGAAAATACATCAATGAATAATTAGTCTTACTGAAGTCAATTTGGTCAACTTTCTTTCCCGATTGTGTGTAGGCCTACATTTTTTTGAAAATATGCATGAAAAGTAATATAAATATGGAGAAATTAACCAACCAAAGCCTTTCTTTTATACTTCTGTTCAACTCCTTTTGAATGATCAAAGTCTGCAAATTATCAGAAAATAGAGAAGATTATCCACGACTGAATACAAACAAGAGAGATTTTGACTGGAAGAAATTCTGATAATTGATATTGATGTTGGATTTGAACTTTTGGTCACAGAGAAACACCAAGCCAGGTTGTACCAGGCTGCATGTCCAGTGTGTGTATTTGTGCCCTGTTGGTCTGGTTATTCTGGGTAACTTCTCATGGAGTTTAATTAACAATGTTGACCTATGTTAGTGAGCTTAGTAGGGGAGGTTGTGTGAACCACTCTACATACTCATCAGTTGTCACTTTAGCTGTATTAATATTGATATCCATATGGGTTGCAGTTCTCAGTCCTTGGTCAGGGATTGTTTAGATATGGTTTTGTCTTGTTATTATGTCATTTTTGTTTCACCACTTCCCTACTTTGGTATGGTACTGTAATATATCTGTACTGTAAGGAACAGCACTGTACTATACCATTACTATACTGTAATTTACTGGACCATCAAATACAACAAGCAGGTATATAAGATAAATATTTGGGGTTAATGCTGAAGAACATAGTAGTAAGGCCCATTAGTTATATTGCTCATCCTTTTAAGATATGAGACCACTAGACATAAAATATATCATAACCCCAGTGAGTTATGATAGTGTAAGATAGTAGAAAATGAGTAAAATACCAGACCATAGAACATTTCAAGCTCCTAGTACCAACTTCCCCAACCAAACTTGGAAAGGTGAATTGATGTGAAGACTGAGGGCGGGGAAAACATAGAAAGTATGCAAGGATATGTAAAGGAGGTTGTTGAAAAATCTAAGTTTATTGATGAAGTGGAGACTTTCTCTACTTACCAATGTGTAAATGAAATTTCCTTTTTTGAGATCAAAGGTGCAGAGATGTTTTTAAGAGTTGATAGGTGGTTGTGAAACATTAAACTAATGGTAGCTTACCATTTATTCTGTATATTTGATAGGTATTGGTGTAATGTATTTTCTGTGGTGTGAACTTTTGACCATAACAAAGTTTTTCTTGGCTATTTTCATGGATGAAAATCCTTAAATGTATGCTTTCCAATGGTTTGGTGTTGCATCTTTATGAGATCCTCATGGTACATAGAATTTGTTTTTGGTATTTATTTGATTCCAAACTTATTTTCATTAGGATTTGGTTTGTTAGTATGTGTTATCAAATGTTGCTGCATGTGTGAACTGATTTGATTTTGATAGTTAGAATGGCAGTATATCAACTTACTCAGGGAGTGTTGCAGATATCCAGTGTGTTTTGACAGTGTTTAGAAGGTTATCATAGCTAAGGAAGTTGAATTAGCTGATATAATAGCTGAATCTTGAGCCACTCTATTGCCACAGTGAAGCTTTGATGTAGATTGCTGTTTATTTCAGCTTAATTGATAGTATTTGGACACACCATGGGCCAGATGGTCTCTACCACTTGTTTACTTCACAATCTCTATTGTATAAATCAATTATGTCAGGAACTCCCCATTGTCTACATCCATAGTCTTTACTAGCTTCGAAGAGAGTAGTTGCTCATAAGCATGAGATAAAGAGGGACACTGGTAAAGTTGAATGGGAACATCCATCTTTGCATGTTATTTGCTCATTAGGTTCACTTTCACAGGATAAAGTTCTATACTTATTTGTGTCCTCTCCCTAAGTAGCCGTGTTCCAAGCCCCTATGGCCCTCTCCCTCTTCTCCTATATACCACACCTCTGTTGATGAAGTAGATAGCGGGGAATTCCAGATTTGAAACAAGACTACTTTCCAAGATAAGCTTGGATCTGAAAACATACAGCAAAGTAATTAGACATAAGAAGTCATAGTGATTTGATGCAAAATAAAAAATAATGAAAAATATTAACAAAATATTTTGCAGCACATTTTTCAAAACATAATGAGAAATGAGAACCCTGCAGAAAACTAAAAAAATTGAATACTGTTTCCTTCAGAAAGCTATTTTGTTTGATTTGTTATTGTTCTGCTACTTCCCCATAAGTAATATTTGTCCAAGTTTTATTCTCCTACTTTTTACACCTTTCTCTATGCCTCTATTGGACAATGAGATGAAAATATTTGTATTATGCCACTAATATCCAAGAATAATTCCAGAATCAAATAAATCGTACATGGCCACTTAGTATTACAAATATAGCAGGATTATCTACTGATATACTTCATGCTAGACATCATGGTGAATGAATGTGATATAAATTGAGAAATAGAGTAGAAGAGAGTAGAATTAGCAAGGAATAAAATAAGCAAACATAAATTGAACACGGGGGGGGGGGTTCCAGGCATGGAGTATTGATCCTCAGAAATTTCATGACCATATAACTCTGCATTGGTCATAACAATCTCTTGCTGAGGAAAATTGTTAAATTGTTAAAATCGTAGAATTAGACACGTACAGGAGAGTTATTTATGATCCAATTGTAGAATTTGTTTCCAGATAATAGTAAAGCTTATTGGATTTTTGCAGCAATGCTTTGATTTATTTCATTTTACTTATTTATGTTCTTTGTTGTTATTCAGTGAAATGCTCATAATTCACTATGACAACAGGAAACTTAACTTATTGAAGATATGGGTCATCCTTCTTCAAAGGACTTCATTTATGCTTAAATTCATTATAAACTTGTAAAATACCCTTGCAGCAAGGATGATATGGGTTAATTAATGTCATTTTTATTAATGCGCACACAATACTTATACGAGGGTTGATCCAAAAGTTCCGAACCGTTTGCTCTAAAAATCTTAATATTTGATGAATATTGTTCATATTTGGCCTCAACCACCCCATATATAGTTGATCCATTTTGTGTAAAAATAAACAATTAATTTGACAAGTAACATAGTTATCTGGTTACCATAGCAACATGACAACAGGGTATGTGGAGCAAGAGAACGACACATTGTAGAGTTGGAAAAATGTTGACACTTGAAGGGTGTATACAGGGTACCAAATGTATTTCAAATTTGTTAGTTATGCCTATTAATCACTTATTCTTTTGTTAGACCAATGCTATATGTGTGATCTGATATCATACAAGCTATAGTTGGCAACTGTGATGTCATTGACCAGAAGAATGCCTTGCGCCAAAAGCAGTCAAATTAAAGCATAAAATCCAGTTCGATTTCGACAATGCGCAATTCCATACCCCAATACTTACTCAAACGTCAATGAAAATATGCACATGCCTTGGCTTACCCTTGCATCCTTCTCACTATATCTGCTTCCATTTGAGGTTTATATTTATAGTGTCCTGAAGTACAAATTACAAGACAAGACATGCTTTTGAACATTAAATGAAGTCTTGCTGTTCTTGAGTGGCTTTCTGAGACAGGTGATGGTGAATTTAAAGTTGTGCGTGATCAAAGGGTCAGCAGATATAGTGTATATAAGGGGATAAGAGACTATATTGCGAAATTTAATCAAGAACTAACAATGAAATATGGACAAATTGAAAAAATAATTGGTTAATAGGCAGGCATGACTGACACATTTGAAATTTGGTACCCTGTAACACTCTTTTAGAATCAACTTTTTCCACCTCTACAATATGTCGTACTCTTGCTCCACATACCCTGTTGTCATGTTACTATGGTAACCAGATACCCATGTTGCTGGTCAAATTTATTGCTTATTTTTACACAAAATGAAACTACTATATATGGGGTGGTTATGGCCAGATATGAACAATTTTCATAAAGAATTAAGATTTTTATAGCAAATGGTTCGGAACTTTTGGATCAACCCTCGTACATACATGTATATCTAAAAATGATTATAAAAACAGAAAATAACAAGAAGTAATTCAGTCATGTACATGTATATATATTGTCATGTACATGTACCATATATATATTGTCAGAATCACTTTACATGTGGAGTAAAACATGTATATAGTGAACACCTATATAAAGTTCACTTTATGTAGATACTTACTACAGAGGGGATTTTATACAGGAGTTAATGTAAAATGTGTCTTGAAGTGGTGTTCACTAAACACAAGTGTTCACAGAGAAAGGGTTTCGCTAAGACACATTTTACTGTACATGTATATAGCAAAGCCCTTTTCACACCATATACTTCCCAATATTGAGAATGGGAAACCCAGAGGGAGTTTAGTTTATATAGTAACTTACCAGGAAGTTTTGCTTTAATTCTGGTGAATATAAATCGAAACCAAATAAGCATTAAAAATATGTTTTGAAGTTACTGTTTCTGTTCATCCTTCCTTTTATATTCTGTTATTTGTACCAGAAACACCTGAAATTATAATGTTGGATTTAAAATGATTAAAGAGAAAATATAAGCCATGGACTTACATGAAGTCCATGCTGAGCCTTATGAAAGAATGGCTATAAAGAATGGGGAAGATGATAACCCCAAAGAAACTGAGACTCTTTGGTTTAGCGATATGGAAATGTCCTCAGAATCTAATAGATCTTGTTTTATTGATGCAGAAAAAGAACAAACATTAAGCACTGAAAAGTCGAGATCAACCTGGTATTACAAACTAAAGGAAATTACCATTGATAAACCAGAAGCAAGTTATTTATTTGTAGATATGATAATTAATAATAAAAGAATGTTGGATGTTTGTGTAATCCTGCATATTATTTGTGTAATCCTGCATATTATTTGTGTAATCATGTTCTTATTTTTGTGTTTTTCAGCAACTCAAGGATGAGATCCTGGAGGTGACAGGGGAAATAGATGGGATGGATGTCTCATCAGAAAAGTAAGTACCCTTAGCAAGATCTTAACTTTATATTTACTCTTTAGCTAGGAGGTAATTCTTTGATTTTGCCTCTGTACAATCTAATCATTTGAATCAGGGTAAATACTTATAGCCAGAAATCATGACAATGTATTGTATAGCTGTCATTAATTTACATTCAAATGTTCATCAATAAATCCTACATTAGAGATCGTTGAGATTGATCAGCATCATATCTACAATAGTCAGAGGGTAGTATAGCTACCCAGTTGGATTTAAAATTTAATAGTCAATAAAACAGTTATAAAAAGAATATTTTTGCATGAACAATGAACATATTAACTGACTTGACTATTGTTAAAAACCGAACCATTTTTCAATTTAACTTCCTGATTAGTTCTGCCAATGGTCTTTGAGAAGGTTTCCTAAAGGTTTTAAGTAGATGGATCTTTTATGTTTGTTTTTGAGATAGCTTTAGGAAGGGAATTCCCTTTTCATATAAGTGATTAAAAGTGCCTATCTATTGCTTATACCATAGAGAAAATCTCTTAACATAGAAGATTTGTTTTCAAGTGATTTATCCATCTCTACCCATGTAATATTGCCATTTGTATGTGTCTCGTGGAGTTCAGAAATTGAACTGGCAAAAACCAGACAAATGAGGTAACATGCTATTGTTTGGAATTCTCTCTAAAGATTGAATTACATGGTTCCTCTATTGTTTCAACATGCTAGACATACGCTTCTTGTCATACAAAATTGAAACATATCTTTATGAATTGTTGGTAGATAACTTAAAATCTGTTACAATTCATCATAATAAAAAGTCTATAGTTTTGGGAGAATGTTTGAAGGGCTTCTCAAGATCTATGGGGAAGAATGGTATTCTCTTGCCATTCACGTTTTGCAATATATCACGAAATGTTGATAAATGGAATGTCAAAATAATGATTTAACGCAATTTGTCAAATATAATGGCTTTACTTATCTGCTGTTGGTTATGATTTTAAATGGCAACATGACATGGTTGGAACATTCCTTGTACAGTGTACTGTATATCTCTCCCAGTGTTCAAGAATCCATCTCACCCTATGCAGACAGAGCCTGTGGGAAATATTGGGTGCGGCGCAAATGAGCGGAGGGTGCGGAGCTAACGGTCATTTTTGAATTTAAATTTGGGATATTTCTGGAACTAAGCCGTTTTGGGACTTCAAATATACCAAGATATGTGTATTTGACACCAAATATCAATAAAATTGTGAAAATAGTAGTGCAATTCATTTTATAGCGACGCAGTATGCCTTAAACATTTCCCAGACCTATATATTTTGAGACTATCCTTTTAATACTGCGTCCCCAGCATTCATAAAAAATGGTGTTCAAGATACACTACCCATGCAAATTATTTTTGCATCTTGGAAGCCAGGCAGTATCTGTGTGATTTTATAAAAATTCGGAAATGCTCTTCAGATATGAGCCCCCTCTAATATTGGGTGCGGAGCTACGTTTATGGAGCTGCTCCGCACCCAATATTTAGAGGGGGCTCATATCTGAAAAACATTTCCGAATTTTTATAAAATCACACTGATACAGCCTGGCTTCCAAGATGCAAAAATAATTTGTATAGATAGTGTACCTTGAACACCATTTTTTATGAATGCTGGGGACTCAGTATTAAAAGGATAATTTCAAAATATATAGGTCTGGGAAAGGTTTAAGGCACACTGCGTCGCTATAGAATGAATTGCGCTACTATTTTCACAATTTTATTGATATTTGGTGTCAAATACACATATCTTGGTATATTTGAAGTCCCAAAACGGCTTAGTTCCAGAAATATCCCAAATTTAAATTCAAAAATGACCGTTAGCTCCGCACCCTCCGCTCATTTGCTCCCCACCCAATATTTCCCACAGGCTCTGTCTGCATAGGGTGCATCTGCTGTGATCGATTGAGAATCGAAATTGCTTTCACCCAGTTGAAAACTCACGAACACCCAGTTAAGATTTTGGAACATTATACTTTAAATAAGTTTTAGATATTTCTAAATCGGGATCACATACAATGAGATACATTTTGAGTTTCTTGAATGGGAAAACTGTTTACCATCTGGGGTACTATGCTTTAAGACAGTTCAGTGCATCTCGCTTGTCTGTGGAGCATGTTTGGTGCACTTTTTGTGGTAGAAGGTGACTTTGTACATAGCCATCCTTTACTATTGGCATAAGTGGGCATCTTGCTCCCACTTACTTAGTCCTAGAAAATAAACTTTGGTTTACCACATGCTTTACTATAAAGAACCATGTGCTACATCAATATCTAAAAATAAAATCAAAGACTGAGTTCAACATTAAAAGTGCTTTGATTCTAATTCTGTAATAATAGAATGATTCTGTCCCCAGTTGACATTTTGTAAATACCAAAAGACAATATCATTGTTGTTGAATGCATAATGAAAGGTTTAAGATTGGTATTGTCAAGGCTAATAGGCATGTTATTAATACTTTAAACTGTACCAAACTGCAGGAGAATTTGACACTTCCTTCAAATTTAAGAAAGGAATTGAGTGAAATTAGCACTAGGAGATGATTTTAAGCATGGGTTGTCATGTCAACCAGCCTGATTGAAGCTATCTTTAGAATTGTAATTGTAATTTAGAGTACATGACCTCATAATTATGTTTTGTCATGGAAGTATTGTTATGATATCATTTTCAGTTTGTTTTGGTGATGCTGGCTGGGTTCTATACACTTCTACTTAATTATTTTCTGGAGATTTTGGGAATGTTTAATATCACGTTAATGAATTTGTAAATGTTCAGAAGCGTGTGTCATGTTGTTGGAGTATTTCCCCTTACACCTGCAAATGTTGCTTAACTTTCTCGAATACAGAGGAAGCAAGGAAACTTAAGAAATAAACAAACTTGAAATTATGCTCCATACTAGCCATACTGCAAAATATCAAAAATCCAACATCATTTTGAATGTACATGTAGTAGTTCATGAACATTGTTGAAATGTGTGAATGTATAAAACAGTCTGCAAGAATTGTGTTGAAGTGGTTCTTCCATGAGTATCTGAAGATAAATTAATCCAAGAAACTAAAAATGTTCTTCAACCTATACTTAGGAATATTGCATTAGCCGTGCCTATTTCATTTCTTTAACTCTAGATTATGATTAAAGTGTTTGCCTTTCTGGTATTTCTATACAATATTCTAGGGTAGAAGCTTTTGTGTGTGTAATTGCTCATTTGGTCGCTTATTTTTGTATTTTATGTAGGGGTTTTATATGCATCTCTCTGTGAATCCCATGTGATCAATTTTTTTATATTTTCATGACAATCTTGCATCCTTCTCCTACCTCTAATATATTTCTTATGAGGTATACTCTTGTTTTTAAAATGTCACTTTTAGTGCTTTTTCAGTTTCATTTTTTTCTTCAACTTCAAATTGAGTTAGTAATCTAATCTAATGTGCTACATCTGTCCAAGGATTATTTAATTGACAACCCTAGTTCTCAGATACCCTCATATGACCTTTCTACTTATGTCTCTTGGTAGAGAAATCCTGCTACAGATGGGAAGTGGATAAATCCCATATATAGTTGACCTGCATGAAAATTGTATGAGAATCTTGATGTTATCCGTCTTGTGTTTGTTTGATAAAGCACATTTATATATAGTTCTAACTTTTTGCGCCATGTTTGTCAGGGATTGATATTATTTTCATTTCATTCTATTCATGTTTCAGTGTTTGATGCTAAGATGTTATTTGCCTTTGGGAACAGTTATTGGATATTTATTTTTTTGTCCAAAAGTTTTCCAAATTCTTAAGGTACGGTATCAAATCAAGTTTTAATATATCCCCTGCCCCTAGCATGCACATCATCTGGTTGGGGAGATACCGTTTGCATCCTGTTCTTCTTAGTTGAGAAATAAGGGCAAGGGGGTTGGACTAAGACTACAAACCAGTTGAATCAGGCTTATGGTAATTCTACCATTCCGTGTCTGTTTCTCTAGTAAAGGTTGTATTTTTACCTTCTTTGATTGATGTTCCTCAATATACTGTTAACATTTTCTCTTTGCTTCATCAACAGAGAGCTTAGCTTCAAAAGCAAGGGCACTGACCCATATATGTTGTACATATATTGTTGGTATTTTGAACTACTAATATGTTATATCTGTCTTCACTTCTTTGATGCTCAGCTGCATTAGTGGTTGAACCATGATTGCTTGGACATACATGGGATTCAAATGTTGCTCATTTTTGTTGAAAATTATATGTCTGTATTGTATTAAGGCGTGCAACAGATATAATTCAATTCCAATAAAGTAATGTGAAATGTAACACCATAAATGATTGATGGGGACCATGCAACATGCTTATGCCTAGAATACCCTGGATGTCATGGATGTAGGATGTATGTATTAGTTATTAGCTACTTCATTTGGTGCTGTCATTTAGCGTAACTTCAGACATTTCCTCCCATTATATATCTACTCTGTGTCATGTCATATTCTTTTCCAGTTAACATATTCAGTCCTTGACATCTAGTCATACTCTCCCTTACTAGTATTTAGTAATTTATTCTACTCTCATAACGTCCCCCAACCCCTCATACTATCAGTCAATGTGAAAGAGAGGGAGTAATATGCCATGCAATAAACAAGAACACAGTACTATGTTTTTTGTGATCTTCACACTCAGAGGGCACCTTCATGTAAGATGGAATTTTCAGTCAAGTTTTCCATGTGATCACTGGTCAGAAATATTCTTGTCATAAATGCTCTTTCTGATTCTTGAGTCGCTAATGCTCAACAGCGTTACATTTATATATGCTTTCAAAAAAGGCATTTGAGTGACTAACTATATTTTTTTCATTTCTCCTTGATATCACTAAAATGTTAGTCTCTAAATGTCTTCAATACTGCCATCTTTATATCAATAGAAAAATATCTAATAAACCAAGCCTCTTGGTGGCGATGTGCAAAAGACAGAGGCTCAATATTGACACTTGGAAGAGGGTTAAATAATCCAGAATTAAAAGATGATCCTGCATAGAGGTTCATATTGACATGAAAATAGGCTCATCTTTGAATTCTGGATTATTCCCCCTTACATTTAATATCATAGGAGACAAAATGCGACATTTGTACATTTGTTTATTTTGGACATATGTATGTTTATGTTTATTGAAGTTAGATAACATTATATATGTGAGGATATGTGACCTTGGCATCTGGTTACAGAAGCACATCCTGGTATCATATTACATCCATTGGATTCAGTAACAAGAAGTCTTTGTCATTCATCTCCACATATTCTTCAATTCATTAAGGTCCATTTGGGGTTAGGCCTTATTTTATATCTTGAAATGAATGAAGTTAAACTATGTTGTTCATGGTTGGCATAGTCTCAGTTCTTGTGTTAAAAGGACTTCGCGCCACAAATGGTCATTTTAGTGAATGGAGTTTCAAATGATGCTCATGTGAATCAGAACCATGGATTCTTCTTTAGGTGTAACTCCTTGAGCATATGATTTTATAAAATGATGGTACTGCTTTATATTCAGTAGTCACTTTCGTTTATTTAGATGACTCAAAATTATGTATATCCTGAATTTACTTACCTCAACCACATTTACCATCTAGGTAATTATTTTTCAAACTAAAAAGTCCTCTAACTGCTAAGCTCTAGGCCAGGGGTCCAGAAACTCTCTGAGGATAAGTGTCCAGCTGTGTGGACCAATCAGAATCCTGATGATCTGTCACTCCTTACCACTTCTCCGGTTGCTTTCATTGAAAAGCACCTTCAAAATTCTTGTAAAAAGAGACTAATCGGAGGAGACAAATTAAATTATTGGACTAATTAATTAATAGAGATAAATATGTTGGTAGTAAAGGATTAGAGCATTGGATTAAGAGAATAATGGATTAGTGTCTCTGGACTAACTAAGGAAGAATGCAAGTCAGTTCGCTAGTGTAGATTTGAAGGGGGAAAGAACATTATGACCTTTGCATAGATTTAAGAAGTGAATTTTCTTAGAAAGAGACTATTAGAGAGAGATTTGTCATTACTATTATTGGATTGTCTCCCAGATAGCTGTACATTATCATGTAGATCAGCTAGTCATGGATAAAGTACAAGTATATACATGGATGTATATGGATTTATAAATATGGAGTTTAATGAATATGGATTTATTTTATGCATATGGACTTAACTGCAGAATATCGTATTAATGTCATCAAATGGCAAAATGAAAACCATTGACATGGGGTTTTCTACATTGGAAAGGTAGAAGATATTTAAACTTTTCATTATATAGGGTTCAATCAGTGAATATGAGCCTAGTTTTGCATAAAGTCTCTATTTCTTCCCCTCCATCTTACTATTCTAATGGCTTGATGAAGATTAACACTAGCCATATGTTTGGCCTCTGTTTTAAACCATTGTTTATTTCATTGTTTTATTTGTGTACTTTCAGAAATAACCCCAAGACAAAGCAAATGTCCATTGGCCGCAAAAAGTTCAATATGGACCCCAAAAAGGTATGTTTTACTGTTAAGTTAAAAACAAAAGTCTAATATTCAAAATGTGTAAATGAATATCATAGATTGCAGATTATTACAATACATTTGATGCATATAAGTATATGAAGCACAGTGAAACCTGTATATCTAAACAACTCACAATGCGAAACACTGGAACACCGGCCAATCCAAACACTTTTTGCCTGTATTAGTGGAGTTTAGTTTAAGCAGGTGATGCTGTATGTATTAAACATAAGATATTCTTCAGTTTTGTACCTAGTCTTTGTCTATCCCCATATCTTTTCACAACTCTGTAACAGTTGAAAATAGACTAGATTAGAAATGACCATAATGTAAGCTGACAAGAATCACTGCAACGGATATAACCACAAGAATTGACTTGTTTATATCTATTACAAACAACCTTCATTAACCCTTGGAACTGAAAACAATTAAAGAGAAAATGTCCCTTTTCTGAATGATATAGCAATTTATATGACTTGTGTTACTAAATATGTCACTCTTTTTGATATAGTAAAAAGGGTTTTAAGTATGCTGGGGGTAGAATAAGGTGAACTAAGGAATACCAGTTTCTCTTGGCCAGTTGATACCTCCTGACTTTTTAGGAATTGGAGTATGTGTCTCAGATTTGTAGAAGTTTTTGTTTTTTGCACTTGGCAATAGACTCTACTAGAAATCCACAACTTATGATGTCTCCATCTCCATTAGAATAAAACCTTTCAAAGATGAGTTTACACCTTTTACCCCTTTCCTACGTGTGTTCTCAAAATACCAGGTTTTAATGATCTTGATTGCAAAAACATTTTCACCAGTTCTTTTGATGAGCTTAGAAAGCTGTTTAACATATGCTTTCTACCATGTACCCTTTTTAGTTTTTAACCTTTTTGTCTCTTCTGAGATCTGCTTCCGTTGCCATCATTAAACCTCTGTTTTTGTGGGGTTTAATTCAGCATATGGACCAAATGAAACTAGTAACACCTATTGGTATAAATCCCTGGGTTAAAGTCTATAAGAATGCAATGTACAAGGAGGTATTTTCAATGAATTTTGAGACAGTTAAGTGGTTGGACATGGGATTAGTGGAGACTGGAGAGGTTTGTGGATGGATTTGTTGGAAAGAGAACACATTTCCTGTTATATGGAGACAGCATCTGGTTAACCTTTACAATTTAATTCAATTTGCATTTCTGTCTTTAACAAATGTGCTCTTACCCTTTGCATTCGTTTGACTTCACTTCTTAAAAGAGAGCTTCGTCTTCACTCTTTCAAACTAAAATAAACCTGTGAACTCACCGCGCCAATCAGTGTTCGTCGGCCAAATTTGACCGACGTTCTACTGTATATATGGTCATTCCTTCTGACGTCATCGTTGAGCCCGGAATTGACCAATGACATGCGCATATTTAATTAGAACGCATTTGGCGTATGTTTCTTCAAGCTCGCTGAATGGTGGAAGAAAGGCCTGCGCATAGGTCAGAAGTGATTTATTACCCAAACTGTCACCGGTACCCGTCGTGTGGGCGGGGCTACTAAACTGTAATATGGTCTCTACTAGGCAGAGTGTAGTTTAACTAGACTCTGCACGCAGGGTAATGTGCTCTGTAAACCAATTACTAAAAGTACCAATTTCAGAGGCGTTTTGAATATTTATGAATTTGAGTATCATCGTTTGCAAGTGACATGGTGGATAAATTGGGTCATATTGTCTTTATTACTTAATATTTAGGCCGAAATTGATGGCATGTAATCAGCTCATATTGGTTGTTTTACTGACCAACTCATTACCACAAAATGGTTCTTTCACCACAAGAACAATTTCCACAACAACACAAGTGCAGAGTTTAATATCAACCAGGAAAAAGACAAAATGATCTCTGAAGTACAATCTGACATCATCAGAGTCCAAAGGCAATATCCTTCCATAGAAATGATCATGATCATGTGTGAAAAGAAACGGAAACAATCCTTTATCTTGAAAATAATACATGTGCACTAGTGTTTATACTCCTGAAGTACTTGTTCCTGTTTATAAACACTGGTACTTCAGTCAGCCTTCATGGATGGACAATTTTGACATGTTTCTGAATTTAGTTCTCAGAAGAAATCACATATTCATAGGTTCTCATAACTTTATCTTAAGTAATGTTTCATCAAGATTGATTTGGGCCTTTTGAGGGCTACCCTGAAAGCAGAGGCTATCAGAAAAGCATGTTTCAATATATAAACTAAAGCTTCTTGTATGTTATCAGTGTGAAGAAAGGAGGTCTCATCACCTCTAACCCTAGAGAGACACTTTATCTTCTCATGTTAACTTATATTTTATCACCCCTAGTGGCATCCTAATCCTATACTAAGATGACATCCATGCAGCATGTTACACTCTGTTTCTAACTAATATTTGAATGGGGTACCTAATTTTCTGACATTTCTGTATAACAAATGGTCTTGACTACATGCCTGTTTACTTTATTCCTTGCTGATTCCACAGCGAACAATGTCCTTGATATTTCATTCAAGAGCAATTAACAGATGGTAAAATCTTCTGTGTCCAATATGTCATAGCCCCCAGTGTCAATCCTCTATTTGATTTATTCAGGAAGGAGGGGTTATCATATCAGTATATCTGGCCTACCCTAGGTCATTTATGGAACACATATTTACTTGTCTTATAAAAATCTGTGTATCCTAAATGACTGTAACAGCAATCTGGTTTACCAGACCTTCTATGTTTCTTTGAATACAGATTGAGAATTGAAAGGCCATGACCAACTAAAAGCTAGTAGGATAATCTGTTATTGCATCCTTATTCTTAATTTAACTCACTTGGGGGTATCTGGATCTGAATATCTGGTCTTCAGTTATACATTGGTATAAGCAGGTCACTCTTGAAATTATTTGTTGTATGAAAACATGCGTTTACCCAAAGTGTTTTAAGATCTGGATGTTCTAAATCAATTTCTTGTAGGTTAATCTGTTTTTCAGATGTCCTAGCCAGAGGGACCAATCCTCACTTTAGCTTCGAAGTTCCTTGGGAAAATTAGCCAGAAAACAAATGTATCATTCCTTTTCTAATAAATCTAAATCTTTTTTGTGGCAAGAAAAAACGAAATGGGAATGGTGGGTAAAATCTTTTAGAACAAGTCTCCTACATTAACATATACAGACTCAATACCACAAGTATCATCATCCAGGGGTGTATGTCTATATTTGGAGGGGTGCTTTATCAGTGTCACTGTATATGACAGCAGAAAGGCTCTCAAATCTCCCATAGTCTGCCTTTAAACATTGAAACAGATGTGTTGAGACCATCTTCATATGTTTGTATGTTTGTTTGTGCGTCAAATCTGAAATGGCTTGTGAGGGACCCTAGATTCAGTTTTGAAATGTGATTTATGATTTAGTATTTTTCATTTATTGACATTGCAGTTTGGTTGTTTCTGGTTTTTGTTACAAATTTTGTTATTATTTAGTTTGGAAAGAAGAACTCAAAAGTGATGACTTTTGGCAATAAAGAGAATGTTTTCAATTTTTAGTTTTCCAGAGACAATGTTCAAGAATGTCTACATGACCTAAAACAGTTCATCTAGTACAATTTCAGAACTTTGTTTTATAATACTCAAAAGTATATTCCCCCAACTTTGAAATTTTTACTTTTACATATTATCCACTAATTATGATGTCTGACCTTCAGTCATTGTTTTATACAACTTAATATGGTTTATCTTTTTCTTGTTTTCATGTTATAACAACTATATACAGAAGGATAGATTGTAATTTTTGTAGGGTTGAACGTCTGCTGAGTGTCAGCTGCTATCTCATTGTGGACAGTTGTTATCATTTGTAATTTACCCATTTTAAAAATCCCCTCTGTTTATGCTTATTCCATGCCATTTCTCTCCAAAATTTGAATAAAGTGTCTGATTTTCTTTCAGATTTGTGTAATTTATAATGTTGACTATATGCTCTGTGTATTATTTCTTGCTGTTTTCTCTCTTTTCTCCTCTATTTCACATTTCAAGGCATGACAATCATTAGATGTATGCTCAACATCATCCATCATAAACTCTTGGATCTGTTTCTTTGTTTTGGCTTGGTATCCCATAAAATCTAAGTACAAATTGTACAAATTACATTCCATCATGTCTGAACCCTCACACTTTCTTGCTATCTCTTATAAGCTCAACTAAACAGTTATTGTTGATTGAAGAAAACTATTTAAAGGTGAATACTCGATATACTATGTTTATATTAGAAAGGTTCCTTGTACTGTGTAATATATAAGACTGAAGGCAAAAGTCTCATCACCTTCTCTCTAATCAGGTTTTATCATTGCTATTACTTTGATCCTTCTTCAAAGATTTTCTGATAGATGAGCCCTAGAAATTAATAATTCCCCAGCAGGTATAACATGGAGTCATCCTTATAATATTTTATGATGAGATGCTGTATGACTTATATTAAGGAAAGCTGAGTAGAATAAATAAGTGCTTGATTAGCTTGAAGCTTCGAAGATATCCTATGGGACCTACCTTAATCTTTGAACATGTACTATGCACTCTTTGATGAGTTGGCCTCGAAAATGATATTGAATTGAAGCTGCAATATTCTTAAAATGACCCAGTGTATGTATATGTCACCATCTCGCAGGAAATAAAAGCTTTTTGAACCGTAACTCACTTAAAAACCCTTCTTGGATCATTTGTCCTAAAATGTAATGCATGCTTTCATGTTATTTATCAAATAATAAGCAAAACAATTTAATATTGACTATTCTATATTCTTCTTGCAGGGGATTGAATACTTGTTGGACCATGGCTTGCTACAGAGTACTCCAGATGATGTGGCTCAGTTCCTCTACAAAGGAGAGGGCCTCAACAAGACAGCGATTGGAGATTACTTGGGGGAAAGGTAAAAATATATCTTCACTCAAAGTAATAAAACTGGGTTAATATTATATAGTTTATAGATAGATTCTAGTGATAAATCTTCATATTCATGTTAAATCCATCCCTCAAAGATGAGATTCATGAGGTTTTCTATTTAGTTTGCTGTTTGCTGTTTATATTGTCTATTTCCTGTATTTTGCTTCATTTCTTGCTTGTTTTGTATTCCAAACCTGGATTCACGAATTGAGTTGAAAACATGATTTTTTATCGAGAAAGCAAAAACATTTTTCTGCCCCTCGATAATATCTCAGAAAATAAATAAACTGAAGTGCTCAGAATCAGAGATATTTTCTTTAAACCTTGAGCCCAAAACCACCCGTTATGATTAAAATATGGATTCTTTGAATTATTGATTTACTCTTTGTCAATCCTGTCAGGTTATACAAAGTTAAACACAAACAATAAACATTTTTGTAATACGTAAACGTCCAATAACAACTGCAAAAATCACGATTTGAGCCTAGTTCTAAAGTCTAGTAAGCACACATGATCTAATGTCGCCATAAGTAGCTCGCCTTGGTAGATTCTAGGGTCAGGTTGCGTCTATACCACCACCAATGGAGTAACAAGTTGAAATGAGAGCCTGCAATAATATTTGTGATGACCCAGAGTTGGGAACCCCATAGAGAGGAGTCTGTGTATCCTTAGGGTTCAGTAAAAAATGTTATATTTCAGAAACAAAGAGATAATTAAGGGGTTAAACGGTATATCGTGAATCCTCCAAATAATTCTCGGATTAAATCGTTCTTAACTTATCATATTAATTCATAGCTCAATGACTAATTAATATGCTATTTACATCATTTATGTTTTTTTAATAAAAAAACTTGAAAATGTTGATTAGTTCAAAGGAGAAACAAATTGACTGTTATCTGGTTGCATTTTGAAATCATTTTGCAAAAAATCTCAGTCGTTAGTAAGTGTATATATCATAGTTCAAATTCCAAGGTTGACTTTTGAATTTTTTGTTAAACTCTACTGAGAATTTCTTCATAATGTTTTTATTTTCACATGGTCCTTGGTGACTCATTTCTGACATTTGCTCAGGAAATGTCATTGTGGTTGTATCTTAGAATGTGAATGGAGTGAAAATAAGATGAATTAGCAAGGAATAAAGTAAACATGCACAAAATAGACACTCTAAACTTCATGAAAATGTCAGAAAAGCAGGCCTCTCATTCAGATCTTAGAGAGAAATTGAGTAAAATAGGCATGACTGAGATGACATTTGGTGAGAATTAAGCACATCCAGGATCATTGGATTATGTTTCAAAACACCCAAACTCCCAAGAGGTTCAACATATCACTTTTGTGACCTCAAATAAATATTATGAAAAAATTACAGTTGAAGAAATTAATGCCAAAAAGTTGCCCAACAAAATAAAAAGCAGCTGCTCAAAAAGCTCCCTATACAGTAGTTTCAAAAATCAAAATATGAATGAATACAAAATGACTTAAAAAGATGCATTAAAGAAATTTTTAATTGAAGCTTCGTGTTGTATATTGTTTAAGTTAGTATATTAATTATTTGACATTGACTTATCTGTTTTTCTCCAGGAATGACTTCAACATAGAGGTGCTGAATTCATTTGTGAATCTTCATGAGTTCTCAGATATGATCCTGGTGCAGGCACTCAGGTAAAAAAAATTTCTTCTTTCATTTATTTGAAATATTTAGAATTGCATCCATGTACAAATAATAGTGGCACATACACCTCTAAAGATTTATAGTATTTTGTCATTAGGTTAAAATGTGGTAAATGTGATGTGAAATGTCTTATAAGTGAATTTAACAAAGTTTTTCCCCTTTCTTCTTCTTCCCCCTGCCAAATTGCCAATAAAAAAAGATATACATTTATACAATTAATACCACCAGAATGTGAGTCATTTTTACACACTGTATTGACCATTTCAATGGCATTTAAAGTGCCCGATAAACTATAAAATGCGCATGCGTCCAGGTGTTGATAAACTATAAATAGCGAAAATCCAGGGTTTGTCACCACAAGGTAAGCCAGGACGTGTTGAGAGAACAGCTAGTGTTGATATTGAATTTACATGTAGCCAGATAAGTTTCCTTATTGAAATTACATATGGTTATTAGCAATACTTTGTAGGTGCTAAATAATAAAATATTTAGAGTATATATGAGAGAAATTGGTCATTTCGAACCTGTTGAAAAGTTTGTGGCTCTCGGCTACACCGGGGAATTTACTTCCATGAGTACACACATAAATGTGGGGTTCCCCAAGAGGTACGCGACAAGGTGACCTGGCATCAAATGTGCGACTAAATGCTACTATCGAGAAGATAAAATAACGAATACGACAATAAGTTATTGCATGTGACAATTCCGAGCCTTCATCTCACTGAAGTATTTTGAAGTGAAAATAGGATTTTTGTTTTGATACATGGATTCAGATGAACGTAACTTTATTCTGACAACTAATCAAAACTGAACAAAATTGATTGTACGTAACAGACAATTTATTGTTTTACAATGTTTTGATTGGCTAAACGAAAGAAACCAACAAATTATGACATGTAAAATGACAATTTTGAAATGTAAAATTTAAAAGTGGCAAACACAACCTCCCTATCCACTCTTTGGGAGCCCTAGTAAATTAGTAATATGTACATGCAGCAGTGGTACACTATGCTTTGTATTCTAAAGCCTGTTGTTTGTAATAACACTGTTCACTCGTATGTTTTGTGTGTAGGCAGTCAACGATTATCATATTGTTTTATCCCAGTTTATATGACCTCGGCAATTATAACAGAACCGTACTAAACGAAAAAACGCAAATAAGAGAAAGCTTTCACACACATATAAAAAATGAACTAGTCAAATCCGCCAGTATAAACTCTGTGCTATACGTAGCCGGGTCAGGCGCACACTTTAACTAACACTGACACATATGTTCATTTCCAGGCAGTTTCTGTGGAGCTTTAGGCTTCCTGGTGAGGCACAGAAGATTGACAGAATGATGGAAGCTTTTGCCAAACGTTATTGTGACCTCAACATAGGAGTCTTCAACACCACAGGTAAATCATTGGCTCATTTCACACTTGGGGTATCTGCAAAATTTCATTATTGAACTGAAAACATTGTTATCAATAGGAATGTTACGAAGATTACAGTGCACTGAATAGACTTCTATAGACACCAGTCCAGACTTTATAGCTTCTCAGTACCTATTGGGGAGAATACTGGGATATTCAAGAGTTGTAATTCCTGACTTAAGAAGGCATATTGCTGCAATTGTCTTCCCATGTAAACATTGATACCTCAATTATACAGATAAATAAATATACAATAGCAGATACACAATTGCTGTTAATGGCAATTTTATATGTACATTCTTGGACTTGTTGATTATGAGAAATAAATGTATATGGAAATTAACTGCCAAGATATTTATCGAACTGTTCCTATTTTCAGATACCTGTTATGTGCTATCATTTGCCATTATAATGCTGAACACAAGTCTTCATAATCCATCAGTCAAAGACAAGCCAAGTGTCGAGAGATTCATTGCAATGAATCGTGGGATCAATGATGGTGGAGATCTACCTCCTGAGCTATTGACTGTGAGTTCAGCAAATATGTTGTTTTGTAATGCCTTATGGTGATATTGTCCAGGATGTGCTATGTCCATTTGTTTATTGAGAAAATACCTGTACAAAGACTCAGGAAATATCTGACCTGGTGAATTGATATCAGATATCATACTCAAGGATATAACAGATTAAATTGACTATATAGTCTACAATTAAAATAATTGTGCAGTGCAGTGCAGTACAGTACATCCAAAGTAGTTGAAAATCATTGCTATAGTTTGAATGTGATTTTATTGCAGAGCTTATATGACAGTATCAAGAAAGAGCCATTCAAGATTCCAGAGGATGATGGCAATGATTTGATGCACACATTTTTCAACCCCGACAAGGAGGGTTGGTTATGGAAACGAGGTCAGTACTCTCTAAATACAGGAATTGTTCATGAAAAGAAACCACTACCGCTCCACTTTTGATGCTCTATCATTTGTCATTATTTTGTGTGTTTTAATTTAGTTAGTAAATTTTTGCTTATAGTATTTCAGCTTATGAACTTTGTGGTGTTTATAATGTTATGAGAAGTTTTCATGTTGGCATATAGAGCATTGAATATAAGGAGCTATATATAATTGTATAAAATGTGTATCACGGCTGTGTTTGCTTAATTAAACAAAGAAATATTAATGTGATAATGAAATCAATTCAACCGTGATGTTTTTAAAGAGAATGTTTGCTATTTCCTCACCAAGTAGTCGCACAGTTTGCTTACACTTTCCCACCTCCATCCCCATTCATCACTTAACACCGTGTGAACCTCACATCTGTGAATGAATTCAAGTGCTTATTCAGAATATGATATATATTAGGGAGAATTCTTTTGCATCTAGTAACCCAACCTTCACAAATAATATACCTTGATAATATGCTACTATACAGTAATTTCAACTCGGAAATGTTTTGCAGTATTAAAAGAGCCATATATTCACCATTTTACTGTTTTATAGTCTTTCTGGAATTATTTTCTTGTATTATAAAAAACTGTGGTTATCATGTGTGTAAAGAAAAATGTTTTAATAATAGTATCCAGGCATGCGCTAACTACATGTATGTGTATAAGTATGATGAATATATGGGTCTTAATACACTGAAAATGTTCTTGTACTATGTAGTCAACACACATGTAGAAACTTAATGAATGTTTTTTAATGAACACTAAGTTTGCATTAATATTCAGTACATGTTCTCATAACCAATCTTTGATATTTTAATCTGTAGGGGCATCGAAATTAAGTAAGTGCGAAAAATTCTTGGTCACCAAATTTTATGTAGGATATTTATGTCTTGTGTGTGTGTAATTTGACTGTAGTTCTATTAAGTTACTGTGCACTTTATATTTTTATTTTTAAATGTGATTATTTTTATTATCGATGAAAGCACATTAGAAAATTGTAGATGAATTTCAGTTTCTGTATATTTTGTATGGTGATTTTTATATGTCTATGGTAGAATTCAGCTCAATTTTTTCAGTCCATTTTAAGTCAATGCACTGCATACTAACTTCATTTTAACTCATATTTTGTTTTTTCATTATTATGTGTATGGTAGTGTATTAAATGTAAAATATGAATATTAAGATTTTAAACTACATTTACAAATATACACTTTGTTTTTGAAATTCCCAAATATTCTTAATTCACGTTTTTTTCATTAATTATGTGATCCTTATAGCCGATTAGATACTAAATGTACTGTATTATCAAAATATATGTTCATATTTTTGTGCTTCTTTCTCATTCATAAATCAGGCATGGTTTAGCTTTAACTCCAATCCAGCCAGGGTCACTACACAATACAGTATACAGAAAATTCAGGATTTGCCAAAATATGAATATTTTAAACCTTTTTGTGTAGCTGTTCAAAAATACATGTATGTGAAAATTTGGGAACTGGTTTTGGAGCTGTAACTGAAATGCAAAATTGTAGAAAAGTGAAATTAGCAAATAACAGAACTTTACACCCAAGCATTACTATTTCTATGATCAGGTGTCAGTATAGGGATATCCATGGCCATTGGCTGTCAAAATGGTAGATGGGAATAACATATAATCTTGATGGCTTGATAATCTTGAAATTCCATTAAGAAGAGGTTTAAAATCTATCACAAAAGAGTTGGAAATTGTTGATTCCAGTGCACCATTTTGAAAGATAGTGTAATAACCATAATGAACCTTAATATTGGCTGTTTATGGAGACATTTTAAAAAGTGGGTTAAAATAGTTGTGTAGAGAGTCTGTTTTCCCTCCAAGCTGTCCACATGTAGTTATTTTCAAATGAACCATGCATGACATGTTTGACAAGTCTCCCAATTCATTGGATTCTTATAAGTCTGAGGAATCAGAATATAACTTACAATTCTTAACTCCAAAATATATACATTTATGTAGGTTTTATGCTTCAATTCAAGGGGCCCGGCTCAAGTAAGATATGAAATAAATGTGTAACATGTATGTATGTCTGAATGCATGCAGTGAATGTTTTTGAACAAATATGACACTTCCAAAGAAGCTCAATTCCCATAATGCCAAAGCTCCCTTGTTTACAATGATGCCTAACAATTGATCTATAAGAATCCCATATTGACTGGTACACATTTTTCTTTGCGCACTTTCAAAAGGGATGTATCAATATGAACTTTGCATGAGTGAACATCACTGTGTTCACTGTATTTATGAATGTTAACATCTTGTTTGGTTCTCCTTTCCTTTCTAATCCCTTTCTAATTGAGAGGTTGTCTCATATATTTCTCACTAAATTCTACATGTGAGTGGTTGGTAAAAGACTGCTTTGTTAAAGGCTAATAGCTAGAATTCTCATCATAATGAATGGAAGAAATGAAGCTTGATACCCAAGTTTATTTGTTATGTAACTTGGATTTCATTATGAATTCAAAACATTTTAGGGTTATTTAGGATGAGAGACTTGAGTTACAGCAATTAAACCTTAAAATGAACTTTTAGAAAAAATTCCCAAAGTTCAGTAACAAGGGTTGGTGGCTGTACTTTCATTCAAACAAGTGAATTATTTGTATAATTGTGTGTGGAATTTTTGAGGCAACCCTTATTTAGATAATATGTGTGGACAAGAGGATGATATGTTAATGTTGATGTATTTATGTTTACAGGTGGCAGATATAAGAACTGGAAGAGACGCTGGTTCATCCTTAATGATAACTGTCTTTACTACTTCGAGTTCACAACAGTAAGTTCATTTTTGATATTAATACCTAAAAAGGTGCTGTATTTATGTCAGCTTGGCAAATATCACTCTGTGAAAACTTACACTTAAAATGTAAGTGTAGTTATGATGACATAGTTTGTGGATGCAGTCTCTGCTTTGGGTCACTCACCCCTTTTTATCATGTCTCTGAATATTGTGAATTGAGAACAGGGATACCTTATGCTGTACTCATATATGATTAAACTAATTTTAAAATGATAAAATAACATCCGCAACTGAACACCTATATCACATGATATTTTACCTCATGAATTAAAACAGCTGCCATTGACACTTGCAGGACAAGGAACCCAAGGGAATTATACCTCTTGAGAATATTGGGATCAGAGATGTGGAGGACAACAAGAAACAGCACTGCTTTGAACTCTACTCCACTACAAATGAAATCATTAAGGCATGTAAGACAGACACAGATGGCAAAGTCATTGAAGGTAACCAGTTTATAATTTTTGCTTTGATTAAACAAATTCACCTCCCTTTATCTGTGTATATTCACAATCTAGTACTATCAAGACCAAGTTGATGGTATGATGGGGTCACAAAAATAATGTGCTCAATACTTAGGCTTCTAAGTAAAATAGTTTATAGCAAATATGATGTTAATCATATAATCGTTAACATTATTTCGCATATCAGATCTTGAGAACTGTAAATTGAATAAGACTACTATCTAATATAAGCCTAATGGGGTTTAATGCTTGTGTTTACATTTGCAGGTCATCATATGGTGTATAGAATGTCTGCTGCTACTTATGATGACAAGCAGGATTGGGTGAAATGTATTAAGTAAGTTGGTTGAGGTATCTTTGAACTTAACTTCAAGTTCCCATTGTTCTCTTGTCCCTAAATGGAGATGAGAATCATAAGTCATAGGGGTCAAACGGTTAACCGCGGTACGCGGTTACCGCGGTTAATGATGCTAGGACGGTATTTTCGGTTCATAGATATGAGATTCGGTTCATCCACGGTTCGAGGAAAAATTGAAAAATGAAAATGGTTCGACATGAACTTATTCTTCATGTATATATTCCTTAAAAACATGTTTATAGTTATAGAGAACATTCAATTCTTACCTTAGATATGAAACAGATCGCTCATAAATCGATAGACAAGTAATTGTTTACATTTTTGTGACATAGACCGGAAGTTGGTCTCGCCAGATTACGCTATTCATAGTGCAATTAATTTTGCTTCGTGGAGGTGTTTTGTCTGTTATAATGAGTTAGTTTTTATTAATCAATATTATTTAAAAAATACTGCAATTACAGAAATTATAACATTACTAATGTCTTTGTTAAAAACTTGAAACATATTTGTGTTTAAATCTCCCGCACAATCGCAGCGCCATCTGTGTTGATTCAGCTGCTTTGACAGACTACAAGAATTGCGAGATTAAATCTCAATTATTGAAATACAAAAGCAACGTTTGGAATTTTTGGGGTTTTCCTATCGTAAATGGGAAATCAGAGGACAATGTATCAATATGCAGAACCTGTAGGAGGTCATGAAGTAAATTTTTTCCTCAAGTTACTGCTCATAGCTAGGTCCGGGAAAACGTATAATAAAAAAGATGAGTTGAATACACCAAAAAGAGATCTCTTTACTTGGTGTATTTGACTTGATCTTTTTATGCATTTTCCTGGTGCTGGTTACTGCTTGTGCTACATGTAGATCTCAGCTCTTATCTGACAGAAATCTTATCAAGGACAGAAAAATCTAAAGTTTAAAATTTAAAGTGGGCCACTAGGCCAATAAACTTTGGTTTGTCAAGTCAATTTAATAAAAAAGGATAGTGGGACCAGAAAATGACCAACTTGGGCAAGGCTAGAAAGAAAGCTAAAACCTGTTTTTTTATGAGCTGTCTTTACAATTTTATAAGGAAATATTACCAATTTACGAGACCCGCGAGAACCGTGAAAGAACCGAACCGTGAACCTAAAAACCGTGACCGAACCGAACCGTTGGAATTTTGAACCGTTTGACCCCTAATAAGTCAGTATTTAAGAAAAAGCAAAAATATATTGTGATTTAAGCATGAAAACAGATGCAAAATTCCTCAAAAACAACAGACAATTTTGGTGCAACTTGAGAAAATTCTCTGTAGGTTGGTGTTAATGAAACCCCAGAGCATATTCATTTAAACCATATATATATAGTTGATATATATTATGGCGATTGACACTCTGTATCTGTAACAATTAATATACTTCTGTCACCATCTCCAATAACTTAGGGGTTGAAAACATTAGCAATCGGTCCATTGCCACAAAGGCAGCTCATTTTTCCAAGTTTATTGCCAAATAATGCAGAAAATAATTTGCATTGGCAGTCAGTGTTTCAAAGAGCAGTTGCCAGCTGCTTAGAACAGTTCCAAACAGTTAACAATTCAACATGATCTTCATTTGGGATTGAATTAATTTTTTCCTGTGTGTATTTTAGGGCCAGTATAAGTGAGCATCCATTCTATCACATGTTAGCTACACGACGGAAGAAGGCAACTCACCATAGCACCTAGATGTACTGATCAACATTTATTATGTGGAGACTAGTAGATCAACATCAAAAAACAGGACACCTGTCTGGGACTAGTCAATCAACATCAATAGATATGAGACTAGTTGATCAACATTATTCCATATGCATTTAGGTTGCGTCAACATCGGTTCATACTGCAAAAAATATATGAATTATGCCAAACATTTTATGGATTTGCATAACCAAGCATTATTATGTATTTCAAAGCACCTGAATGCACATCCCAAAACAAAAAGGAGCATTTATACATTATTTGAATACAGTTATCAGAGAGTGCACATGGATTGTACCCAGTTATAATGCAAAATTATTGATGAAGTCAGATGTAGCAAATTGTACAGACACTTGAATGTGCGTAATGTACATACATACTCAGCTGTGCATTTAAGATTGTACAGTCAAGCAAATGCGGCATAACTTGTACATATGTGTGCATATAGACACACCATAGTTTATCATAAGGAAACATATGTCAAATTGCACGGAATAATTAACAGTGCAATGATGTTTTTGAGTGAGTGATGTTTCAATGCATCATTTGTAGATTTTTTACAATTTTTGAAATATTGAGTGTATTAAATATTCAAAAGTTTGGAATACTATATTAATTTAAATATTAGCACAAACTTGTAAATGATATTAGAGAGGAATTGAGTTGGATCAGTTCAATCAGAGTGAATTGGGTGAATTAAGCAAGCTACACTGTGTATCACCTTGTGTTTGTACATGGTATGGTTTTCTAGTGTGATAGATGTCACTGTAGTCTTCATATTGTTACCTCAACATTGTGTTTGCAAAGTGAATTGAAGTCACTGAAGTTCATGGATATTTCTCTTCTTTTCTCTTTTTTTCTCTCTTCAATGAAACTGGCCTACATGAATTCCTCTAGAGTGAGTGTCCTTAAAGTGGGTATGCTTTCAGTCCAACATTATAGATATAACATAGACTTGCACATTCTCAGGACTTCTTATAGTGAATACTTTGAAATTATGTGAGTCCTTTCATTCAGTCTCAGTAGTATTAATTTAACACAGGTTTAACTTTATGAAATTTCTTGGATTTCTATAAAATAAAATTTTGGTTACATGTGTTTTTATGGTGTAGATCATGGGGATGTTCAAAATATTAAATGAAAATAGGAGAACAAACAATGAAACAAATCGCTGAACATTTACATTAGTTTAAAATCTGAATTGTATAAAAATACAAGGGAATAAGAGAAATGGAGTGGAATAACCATGACTTGGTTTGTCAATGTTCTGACAATGTGTACATGTATGAGTCAAGATTATTAAGACTTTGTAAATATTATATTTAGTGCAATGAAATTGTGTAAATATGTCAACTGTAAATTAACATACCTGAATCTATTAAACATGACTTATGGATTTGTGTAATACCGAAGAAAATAGGTTTTGGATTAGTTGCCAACGAAAATGTTTTAGATGTGTTACCATTGTAATAGTGAGACAAGTCATTATTTTCAATGATCTGAATTAGAAGAGTCTAACTGCAGTTTTCTTGATAGTCTAATATAGAAATCCCTTCATGTCTTAAACGTATTGATCTAGATGTCATTGCATTAATACATGTTAACCTTTATAGAAATGTGTGTCATTGATTTTATATTATTCTTCAGAGTTACCTCATTTTTTCAGAAATCTATTTCATCAAGTTTGAATAATTTTTTATAAATAGCTTCAATGTCAAAAGAATTTTAGTTGTAGAAAGATGGAAAGTACCTGTGTAGTTACAGTTCTCAATTTTAGGTTAGAAATGTATTTTTATTTTAAGTACCTATTCAGAATACAAACATTTTGTTATGAAGTCAATCCAAGATCCTCTTTATGTGGTGAATAAAAATATATATAGATAGTAACTTTCATGATTTGTAAACAAAGTGAGAAATCACTTGCAAGAATAAAAACAATGGTACAGTATTTGAAGCTTGTGTTTGTAAATGTTCTAAAATGATAATTCATGTGGAAATAATAATCAATTATTTTAGTTCCATCTAAGTGTAGGGGGACATTTTGTATTCTGGAGACTCGCAGATATTAAATGTAGTTGTTCATATTTTTGTGGTACAGTTATACACCCATATGGTGATTTGTACAAATGAATATAATTATTATATGATTATTGTGTATAAATATACTTCTGCCAAGTATACTCAGTATAAACTATTGCTTTCTGTTTTGATCGTAGTACACACTTGTGAAATAACAGTTCATTTTTGGAACAAAATGCCCACACAACAATGATACACATTTGCTTACACTTGGAGACCCATAGATCAAAATTAGAGCACCAAAATTTCCTATTTAGCCCTTTCCCCATAATGGAAGGGGTGGGGATGAACATCTACATCAATTTGTTTCTAAATTATATTCATACTTCCTATTATAAATCAAAGATTGCAATTTTTAAGAAAAATGGTGGCCATTTTGAATGAGTGGCCATATCGAAAATTCCTTCATGAGCAGAGGTCCTACACCCATAAGGTATAAGACTATAAAGTTTAACCCAAGAAGCCCCAAGGTAAAACAAGTTACACAAACGCTTGAATGGGGGGTGAAAATGACACCTACTTGTAAAATCTTTATTAGTAAAGCTAAGATGTCCAAACTTTCCCCCAAATCTACTTCATTCAATTATCTACAACATGGTGTAATAACTTTAACAATTATCATGGTGTAAGATTGCATAATTTTATTCCTAAGACAACACATATGGACTGGAATTAGTGATTTTCCCAGTTGATGTTGTCTCTTGGAGTTGATGATTACATCATAACAAATTAATAATAAATTAGTAAAGCTAGGATGTTCAAACTTTCCCTAAACATACTTCATTCAATTATCTAAAACTTGGTTGAATAACCTTAACAACTATGATGATGTAAGATTGCATATTTTTTTCTAAAGACAACACATAAGTCCTAGCATTACCTGATGCCAATAAAAAGTTATGGGGAAAAACTTAACTTGGGGGGTCATTTTGACTTCTAGGTTTAAACCAAATCTGGCAACCTGTATTTGAGATGGACAGCTTCTTTAAGGTCAAATCTAAAAGTTTAAGTCAGATTTGTACTCCTGAGAACTTGCAGATGATTCTTTTTAAAAATTGGTAAGTTTGAAGAAGGTTGAAAAATGACCTATTTTTAACATTTTTTGACATCAAATTTTAAAAAACTTAAACGTAACGTATTGCTGACATATACAGTATTTAGCAATTTGATGATGTATATCTGAGATGTTATTGACTTTCTAGTAATCTTATAGCAGTGAGTACAAGCTAAGTATGGTAAGGTATCCCAAGTAAAAGTTAAACAACAATTATACTTGTACATAACATTAAAAACATTAAATACATAACAACATTGTAAGGTATATGTTATAAAATATTTATTTCTAAGTGTTTATCATGTTACCTATATCTATGAAATATCTAATTTTAAAATGTACATGTATTTTTCTCTCCTTAAGGTAGTTACTTCAGTGTCCATTGCACAGTCAGTTCATGCATATCTAATCCCAAAAATAAAAACTGAATAAAACATTGATGTTTGTTGATTTGAAGAATTTCCTTTGATTATACAAATGCCGCGTGGCGCAATCAATTAAAGCGCTGGTTTTTAAAGTTCTATGTGCAGTATGGCAAGTGATTTTAGATAGTCATCTTAAACCATGAGTACTTTCTGGGCATAAATACAGTGGTTTTTATTAAAACAATATGTTTTCTTTCAAGTGACGTACCCATAATGATAAAAATATTGATCAAACAATTCGAAAAATTATGAATAGGGACCCCATGTCAAAATTTTCTCAAAATGTTGAACCTATTAACTCAAAAGAGGATATTCTTTTTCTGCTTTTTATACCATGAAAAGATTATTCAACAAGGGGTCTAAAACGTCTTCAAAAGTAGAATGGTATTGGAAGTCTAGTTTTGAAGATATCCATTTTTTGATGACCAAAATTATGCTGAAAACAATGGATAGCACGTGTTTCCCTATGGGAAAATAACATTGGATATGTGGTTTTTAACTTTAACACATTTCAATACACATCCCTTTTCAGAAATAGTTAATATAATATAGTGTAGAAGAAACTTTCGATATGTTCAAATTGAGAAAAACAAGATCCTCTTTATAGAAAATGAGCCTAACATTTTGAAACAAGGCATTAACATGAAAAAAATGTCACCACTTAATTGCTCACAATATCATTAGTTCAATCTTAAGTCAGCTTTGAATTCTGAGAACTTGTAGATGATTTTGAAAAAAAGGTCAATTTGAAGCAAGTTGAAAAAAGACTTTTTTGACCTTTTTTTAAACTTTTTTGGACCTTGAAAAGGTCATTGAAGGTCAAATCTTAAATCTTATGTCAGATTTGAACTTCAGAGAAATAAAATTGAAGTCAGTCTATTTGTTAAGTTATTAAGTTATTGGACTTTTTTTGTTACAGACGCCAACTGCAGCCTGCCGATCGCCATCCAACAACCACCAACCACCGCCACAAAAAACAGAGACCATAAAAATGATAAAAATCAGATTTGAACTTTTGAAAACTTGTAGATGATTTGGAAAAAATTGAAGTCAGTCTAAACAGTATTTGTTAAGTTATTGAACTTTTTAAGAATTTGTAGCAGATGCCAACCGCCACCCGCCGATCGCCAACCACCAACCGCCGCCACAAAAAAATAGAGACCATAACAATATGTCACCACTTCTTGGTGGTGACAAAAAGTGCCAAGATGGGGTTCTAATCCATAATTTTTCAGGGAGTTGGATCGCTATTTTACTACCATGGAGACTTCACTTGAAAGAAAACATATTGTTTTAATAAAAACCACTGTATTGATGGCCAGAAAGTACCCATGGTGAAAGAAATGACCGTCTAAAATCACTTGCCATACTGCACATGGACCAATTTTTTACCTGTCCACAATACATTTCTTGATCTTTTTTTATATGAGGCACTCATGTTGATCTATCAAGACATTTTTGGCAATATGAGTCATTATATGATGGAATAATGATATTTTCCCACTGATTTATATTATTCAAAGTTATTTCTTTTCTCAAGATCCAGATGGTGAATTTTCATGAATATTACCATAAATACTTTTCTATTCCCATAGAATCATTAAGATTTTTTGAAGAAACTCTAAATTGTGCAACTTTTAAATAAAGAATTTCTACTTTAAGGAGATAATGGGATGTTTTTATGGTAGCGCCACATAAACAACCACATTTCACACATAATTTACCATGTTTAATTTAATTTAAAGACCAAGAATATAATCATGGACAACTGAGAACAATGCCTGATAG